TTGTCCAGCAGGGCTTCTGATTGGCCATTGGAGATCTGTGGAAGTTGCTTTGACAATAGCTGCCATCACAGTATTGATGTCTAAGATAAGCTATGTATGCAAGAAAATATGTTTAAACAGTATGTTCATTTTAAAAGCTATCTTTCTGCCTGAATTGTTGAAGTTACTATTAAAGCTAGGCATGACCTCACTTCCTGACACTTTATGGTTGGCTTTTCCTCTTGTGGCATCTATTTTGTGGTTTCACCCAACACACTGTGTCAGAATTCCAAAGGTGCCTGTGGGCTCAAAAAGTTTGGGGAGCCCTGGAACTAACTTTTTTTGTCCCTGTCTTATAATAGTAGAATTCTCAGGGATCCAATGAAGTTGATAAAAGATTCAGGACAAAAAAGAAGTATTTCTTTGTTCAGAGTAATTACATTGTGCAATTCACTTCCAGTGAACATAGTGATGTCCACAAGCATAGATGGCTTTTAAAGGGGATTATATAGGTTCAGAAGAGGATAGCCCCATTGATCCATCCAATCCACAGTGACTAAGTGGAACTCACTGAATACCAAGTGGCAGGGGCAGACTTTGGCAGTGGTGCTCTGCTTCTAGGGCTTCTAGCGGCATTTGATTAACCACTGTATGAAGAAAGATGCTGGAAAAAAGCCACTTGTCGAAGAATTAATTGTTTTAGCATTGCTGTTTAATCCATGGACTATGAAACAGAATATTCACTTACTATATTTAAAATCTTGTATAAAGTAATATTTGTTAAAATCCACTTTTTCTGAAACTTTCAACAATTGGTAGATATTTAAATTAATTGAATTTTATTAGGGTTACATGTAAGTAGAAGACTATTAAACGCATAAAGTCTACCTTTGTATGCCAGAACTTGTTACTAATGGTTTATATGGCAATGTAACCAATTCCTTCATGCCTTTTTCTGAAAGTTCTGAAATCTAAGAACTGTAACTCCATTTTATGTTTTGTATAATTCAGTATGCAGGCAGTCACATTTATTATAATAAAAAATTGAAACATATAAATGAAGTTATTCACAATACATCAGTCTCTCTTGCAAATGTAATTTGAAATCTATGAAACATTAATGTGTGAAGTACATAATGCTTTCAGACTGCAGAATAAAAACAAATGAAATATGAGATTGATATTAAAAGTATGCATCAACAAAGTGTTGTTTTCCTCTTCCCTAGTCGGAAGATGTTTATAATACCAAGAAGGATAGGTGTATTCAATTGGACAAATGTGTGTAATGTACAAGGCTTATTATGAAAATGTTAAATGCTTATTATCTGCATATATTACTGTGCACATCCCATCAGCTATTCCTTTCCTTTTTGGGTAGACTTCCTCTACTGAAGTACTATGGGTACTACTAATATGGAGGGAGCAGTTCCTGAAGAGAAGCAATTCACAAAAGTTCTCTAAATAAGAAACCTATCAACTAACCTATCCATTCTCCTCCTCCTCCTCACCTTTTATTCATCCTATTCCTAGTTACCAAGGCACAGTAAATTGAATCATAGTAAATAACCTTATATGATACATAAGCTCTGGAATACAAAAAATTAAAGCTTTATTTATTTATACCCCTCTTTTCTCCCCAAAGGTACCCAGAGTGGCTTACAATCTTTCTCACAATGATTCCATGAACACCTCCATAGTACCTAATGCCATTTAAAAGCCTCACTAGCAGCTGTCATTTCTGACATAGTTCTTAACTGGAAGAGAGTGGAGGCAAGTTCACAACAGCTATTGGGCCTCTGCCTGGTGGGTGGAGCGCCTTCTAACGACAGCATAGCCACACTTATGAAAACATGCTTTTAGATTATTGCTTAATAACCTCATTTCTAATGTGCTCACTATCTGGTCAGATCTTCATATCCTTTGTTTTTCTTTTACCATAACAGACAAATCTGTTAGCAAATAGACTTATTATTGTGAATATATCACATCTTCATTGTTCCTTAGTCAGAGGCTTCACCATAATGTTTCCAGTAGTTACTTTAACTTCATTTCAGTTTCTTTCTATTATTAAGGACATGTTCATGGACACAAAGCCCTTGATCCTTTTTCAAAATCAGAGCACCTATGTATCCCTAAGCCACCTTGGTGAAACTATTAAAACCACAACCCCACTAACACTTAACTCCAGATATACTTTTAACATATGCCTAATTCTAAGGGCACAAAATATAAACTTTACCACAGAAAAGTAGCACAGCTGTCCTTACCAGCCAAAAGATATAACATATGAAAATCATTTGAACAGCAAGGTAAACCGCTCAGTAAAGGCAATATATATTTAGCTCTTATAGATTAATACAAATAACAGCTAAACACAAAATGAGGTAAAATTGCAAGTACAGCTCTACCACAAGGACAGAGTCTCTGGGGACAGCTAATACCCTCGCAGCAACCTGTCAGTTCTTCAAGTAGTAAAGTATTTAGCCAAGAAAAAAAGTTGAAGAAAAATTGAGACTGTTAGAGAAGTAAAATAACTTAACAAAACAGGAGAAAGAGGGGCTGAAAAGACCCCCTCCTGAAAGGGAGGAACAACATCTCTTAGCATCTAAATTAATAACCTACTGATCTAATCTTAGTGATTCCAAAATCTTCTTTCTAACATTTGATATATCAATAGAACACCAAGCACATTTCATGGTGTGTGTGCATTTTCAACCCTATAATGCAAATCAGGCTGACATGTGTACAGATCTTCTTATGGAGCTCCTATGTAACGCTGTGGGAGAGGGGACTGAAGAGTGCTAAATATTTAACCACCCCACAGTTGGGATTTCCCAGACTGAGTTAGGTTGTTCTGTTTCCCCTAATCACTGTTCACCTATCACTTAGAAACCTTTCACAATTCCATTCTATTGATAGTGGGAAAGTAAACTCTGAATTGGTTTTGCCCAGTGTTCACTGTTGTTTTCTGGATGTGTGGAATCTGATGGATATGTAGAAATCTTTTAAATGTGTGAGTGGACCATGGTATCTGACTTGGTTTATGCATCTTCCAGTTTTCAAAAGGGTTGTTGTTTTGGAGGGTTGGGGGGTTGTTCTTGTTGTTTAGCTGTTTGTTAAAACAATGTTGACAATATTATTTTGGTTGAGAAATTTTAAATAGTCCAGAAAGTAGCAGCAAGATTGCTAACAGGAATGGACTACAAGGCCATATCTGTAACATTGGTCTGTACCAACTGCCTGCCCATTTCAAGCTCAAGATGTTGTTTTTGACCTATAAAGCTTTATATGGCTTGGAACCAAAGTAGATGAAGGACTTCTTATTCCCATACAGTCCTTACCCAGGCACTACATTCAGCCTCACAAGTTGTTCTTTATTTCCTCCTGCCTTTGGAGGTATGGTAGGTGACCACAAGGAATAGAGCCTGGGCCAGGAGGGCAGGATAAAAATCTAATAATTATTATTATTGCTGCCCAACTTTGGACTGTCCTCTCTTTTTCCTTCGCCAGTCTCCTTCTCTGTACAGTTCTGGCATCTGACAAATACTATTTTATTTATTCCAAGTAGTTTTTAATTCATCTTTTCCTCAGTTTAGATGGTTGTTATTTGCTGTGCTACAGCTAATTCGAATTTAGTTCCTGTTTTGTTTTATCTATGGTGGCTTATTTGATTTAGTTTTATATTGTACCATATCTTATATTTTTTGTTATTAGTAATGTTACATTTTTGGATGCTGTCAATGGAGAAGCATCTATAAATATTTTAAATTTTAAATGAATATTTTTTTAAAAAAAATTAAAAACGTACTTTCAAATTTTGCAGCCAAAAATAAGTTAAAGTGAAAAGGAGAACATATTTATGCCTGGGGTGAATTCAGGAGATGGATTTATAGAATATAATATGGTATAAAATGGAAACATTAAAATTAATACAAGGAGGTAGTTTAACTTTAGCTTTTGTCTTTAATTATATTTTAATTTTAATATGGTGTTGGTCATACTAAGATATTAGATGATGGTCATGTATTTTGATATGGCTGTAGTGTGTGTGTCAATTGATGGTGCTTTGTTCTCCACCATCAAAAGCCTCCCAATTCAAAAAGGAGTGAGACTGCTGTAACATTTGCAGCCCAATTCCATGCTCATTTACTCAAAAGGAAATCTCACTCTCTTCAGTGGAACCTTTACTGCCAAGTAGTACACATGATTGGAGAATTACTTGTGTAATTCTACTGAAATCGGTGAGATTCGATAACTGCAAACAGCTTCAGTGCCATAAATAAAAGAGTCATTAGTTTAACAAGGTAAGGATGTTCCAGTAAATGTAATAAAACATGAGAAATGGCACTGCTAATATTTGCAACAGCCCATCTCTTGTTGCATTACATTTTCCTCAAATGTTTCTTGGTTTTATTAGCAAATACATATTATGTTACTTTTCACTATACAGTTTTGAGAAATCAGTCTTACAAAATATACTGGATTAGATGTATTGTCCATAAGGAGAGTCACACCATTCTAAACCCATTGATTTCTGTGGACTTAGAAATGTGCTATTTTTTTTTAGGATGGCACAATTTTTAACAAAAATTCTGTTCCTATGGTATTTAGAACCTGTGTTCTTCTGTGTGTATATAAAACATACAACCGAGGGTATATGCAAGGAAAATTCAATCACAGATTAATTGTTCAAGCTGAGTATGAAAACGGGTATTGCTAGGAAGAATGTGGGGGGATTTTTACTGTATTTCTAATGCGATGCGGGATTTGTGGAAATATTTTCTCTGAAATATGCTAAGCAAAACAAATAATGTTGATTATCCTATTACACTAGAACTTTCTCCCAAGTGCTTCCTATTTTATATTAAAATCTATGCAAAGACTTGTCTTACTTGTTTCATAATCTTTGAAAAGAGAACAAATTAACCTACTTCAGTTTTCCTGCCTGTTACAGGTAGAAAAATATTTTAGCATGTTTCTTGTACGAAGAAGTATTATTCATATTTTTTCTTTAATTACAGGTAAAGATTATAGTTCCCAACAGCACAGCAGGTCTGATAATAGGGAAGGGAGGTGCTACAGTCAAGGCTATAATGGAGCAGTCAGGGGCATGGGTACAGCTTTCCCAGAAACCTGATGGGATCAACTTGCAAGAGAGGGTTGTCACTGTAAGCGGAGAACCTGAACAAAACCGAAAAGCTGTTGAACTTATCATCCAGAAGATACAAGAGGACCCACAGAGTGGCAGCTGTCTCAATATCAGCTATGCTAATGTCACAGGTCCAGTGGCCAATTCCAATCCAACCGGATCTCCTTATGCAAACACTGCTGAAGTATTGCCAACAGCTGCAGCTGCTGCAGGGCTATTAGGACATGCAAACCTTGCTGGAGTTGCAGCCTTTCCAGCAGTTTTATCTGGCTTCACAGGCAATGACCTGGTTGCCATCACCTCTGCACTTAATACATTAGCCAGCTACGGATATAATCTCAATACTTTAGGTTTAGGCCTAAGTCAGGCAGCAGCTACTGGGGCTTTGGCTGCAGCAGCTGCCAGTGCCAACCCAGCAGCAGCAGCAGCCAATTTGTTGGCCACCTATGCGAGTGAAGCCTCAGCCAGTGGCAGTACTGCTGGGGGTACGGCGGGGACATTTGCATTAGGTAGCCTGGCTGCTGCTACTGCTGCAACAAATGGATATTTTGGAGCTGCTTCTCCTCTAGCTGCCAGTGCCATTCTAGGAACAGAGAAATCCACAGATGGCTCAAAGGATGTAGTTGAAATAGCAGTGCCAGAAAACTTAGTTGGTGCAATACTTGGGAAAGGAGGGAAAACATTAGTAGAATACCAGGAGTTGACTGGTGCAAGGATACAGATCTCCAAAAAAGGAGAATTCGTACCTGGCACAAGGAATCGGAAGGTAACCATTACCGGAACACCAGCTGCAACCCAGGCCGCACAGTATTTAATAACACAACGGATCACGTATGAGCAAGGAGTTCGGGCTGCCAATCCACAGAAAGTGGGTTGATTGTGCTAAACGTGAGATTGTTTTAAA